GGAACAACCGGGGGGGGGTTTTCCCCGGGTTGCCGCCCCCCGTCCCTATGGGTTCCACAAAGGGGGGTTTTTTGGAACCAGGTTTTTTAAAAGGGGGTTTTTGTTAACCCTTTTCTTTTCCCCCGGATTCCCTGGTACCCCCCCCCCCTTTTCCCCCCGGAAAACATTTTTTTTCTTTTTCCCCCCCCCCCCCCCCCGCCTCTCTCCACGTTTCCCTCCCCCTGCCGTGCCTCTTAAACGTGCCGACGTACCTGGTTTCCTCCATCTGCCCCTTATCGTTGTGCTCGCCAATGGCCAAACCGGCGTGATTTCATGCACTCCCAACACACCCGTGTGGTGTCTACGGTATAATCTAGCACGTCACTGTTCTATTCTCGCGGCCGCGCTTTGATTCCACACGTTCCGAGGCGCCCACTCTGATGCCGGAGCTTTTCCGCTCTATGTGGTGCTGCTGACTTGAAAAACCTAGGCGCGCTGAAAAACAAGTACACACCAACACTCTTTGTGCGCACGGGAGTAACACCGACTGGACCAAGCCGCCACCTTCTATTTCGGCGCCGAGGAGGTCGAGCCCGTACGCAAGCCACGACGGCGGAGCCCTCCGTCCGAACGCCCACTCCCGGCACCGCACCAAGGCTTCGTACGCGCCCGCCTCCTCCGCTTGGGAAACCTGGCCGTTTCGGAACGTCCGCACCAGCTCCTCTGGGTCGGGAAGGAGCACGACGATGGCCTTCGCGGTCGCCGTTATTACCTGGCGATGGATGGATCGATGGATGGGCGGGTGGATGGACGCAAAGTTTGGTAGGTAAGGCAGAAATGAAAAGCAGAGACACAGAGAGGAAAACTGAGATGGTGGTGGTGGTGGCACCAAGAGGAACGACAGAGCGGCGGTGGAGGGCGGTGAGCGGTCTATGAAATATCACTCAATAGGCTCTGTGTTGCAGCTGCTGGATATAAATTTCCCGACATATCAAAACTGTGAAAGCGACGGCGGCGACGACCACGACGACAACAAGCACATGCATGCCTCGCTGTGTTCCGAGTCGAAGATGAGCTCCGCCAGCTCCTTGAGCCCCCCCGCCCTCTTCATGGCGAGGGCGTTGGTCGGGTGCTGCATCAGGATCGCCACGCAGCTGGCCGCTTGCCCCGCCGCGGTCCCTTCCTCCTCAGCGGCCGCCGCCGCCGCCGCCGCTGCCGAGCGGGACGATGACATGGTACTTGTCTGCTTGCTCGATCCTCCTGCTAATGGGTTCAGACGATTGGGTGCGCTCCTCGGTATGTGGCGTCGTTTCGTCACCATGGTAACCCAGGGAGGAAGGGGGTTCTGGGGAATCTTGAATTTATTTCTGTAGATTTTTTCTTTCAGTCTCTGTGGGTGCTACATTACTGTGTGGGTACTGCATATGGCTTGCTCTCGTGGCCGCGCCTTGTCGTCAAGCCCATGAAAGACGGAGCCCACTCTGTAGTTTACCGGGGCAACAAGAGATCCGGCTTTTTGCTGCCCACCTGCATGCATCAAAGAAGCCATCGAAACCTGCGCTCGCTTCATCATATCTCTTTGGTTTCGTTCGTATGCCGTGAAGACACCGTTACCGAGGCGGCCAGAGTTCGAGGCGACATGTTCCGGCTTGGACGAACCTACCAAATGCTACAGGGCAGTCTTGGCCAATACTTTGCTGGACTTCAAGCAGAGTGCTTCAGCTCGACACACTGAAGCCAGTGCTGTTCCGTGTGACAAAATCCAAGGAAAACGTCGAGGGGAGAAGGTGGGACACTACAAAAAAGTCCCAATGTTGCCTTTCTCCTTCGTGACCTCCGCTGGCGCGTCAAACTAAACACCGAATGGTTTAGGCTGGCGCCTTCACAGCGTCTCGAAAAAGGCGCGTGATCCTCTCTAGGCAATACCAGCACCGGAAAGATGCCACCGGAAAGAAGATGCGTATCCTTTTTTCGCATGTCGTGTGGGTGGGGCGGCACTCACCGTCGTCTTCTGCGACGCCCCACGCCGCGGCGAGCTCGAGCAGTATCGACACCGCGTCCAAGCTCGCACACCGCGTTTTGTTCGCCTGGTTCTTGAGCGTCAGCGAACAGAGGGCCCGTGCGGCGGATCGCACTACCCTGGGATCGTGCACACGAGGAGAAAGGGTATATAGATATAGACATGTTTACTGGAGACTTTCGGGTACAGCCAATTATGACATATTCCTTACCTTCGAAATGCAACCTTCCATAGTCTGTCGGGATAACTTGGGGGATGCGACAGGGGGGCGGTTTGACGCACGCCAACTACGTACGCACTGCAGCTGTGGTTTTCCGGAAAGGATGATATCTTTCACCTGGCGCTCTGGCAGTGCTTGCACACTGACAGTGCGAGCTCCACGCTGTCCCCCGCGCCGACATGGGCCTGGTTGAGGGGGTTGTTGGCCAGGTTGGCGAGGCAGATGAATGCCTATAGAGAAGAGTTGAAGTGGGAGAAAGGGAGAAGGAAGGGGGCGGGGCGGGTGGGCGAAGCACCGGCGTGTTTGTTATCTTCGGTATCTACTGTTGGTCACGCACGCTTCTTCCGGATGGAGGAAAAGCAAGACCTGCACTCTCTAGTCATACAGTATAGAGGTGTAGTGAGAAAATCCTTTTTTTGGCTCTTCGTCAAGAGCTCGTGAGACGGTTCGAATACACCGTCGGATACTGTAATAATGCTCTAACAGGCCAAAATGCCGTAATAACGTCAATTTCAGTGCAATATCGGTCATGTTTCGTCGTTTATTTTCATTTTTGTCCCCCCGCAGTACGCGTTTCAGGTGTAGCGCGCCTTTGTGCCTTAGCCATGATCCCCGGCTTGCAGTTAGACCCGAGCTGATTAAAAAGAACAGCAGCAGCCATCACCGCCGCCATGGCCGCCAAAAACGGTGCCCAATACCCACGCCGATCCCCCTACCACTAAGCAGCGACACTGATGTGTACCCAGCTCACCGCCTCTATGACGTCGCTATGCCTCGTCTTGTCAGAGTCCCTGATCAGGTCGCAGGCTGCCTTGTCCGCCCCTGCCTCCAACAAACGCAGCGCCGCAAACTGGTTAAGGTAGGCCATGTTGGCCAGGGCCAGGCAGGCCTATCCATTCCCCCGATCGAGCAGCGGGCACGGTGAGCCGGTTTGGGCGGCGGCATACCCCGGGAGGTTTTCAGCGGCAAAAGCGGTGGCGTAGGTTATCGATTCGAAGGTGAGCGGGAGATGCGAAGGGAAAAAGAAGGACGAGCGTATCGGAAGGAAACCGTCGGAGCATTGTCTCTAAGGGCTGAGAAACAAAGACACGAGTCGTATCGTGCGTCTACTAAATATTCCACTGCAACGACGCCGGCTATCCTTCTTTGACGTTCAACATGTAAACTCCACAACACGTAGTATTAAATGTATCATTTAGAGACCAAGCGACACACAAGTCCCCTCCTCCCTCTCCCTGTTCAGATTTTTCCATCTCTCTCTCTCTCTCTCTCTCTCTCTCTCTCTCTCTCTCTTGCACCGTTGGCGTGGTTCTCAACGGGTTTTTAGAGTGATATTATGGCTTGCGAGGCGTACGTTCTAAAACAAATGACCCCATTCCGGGGACCTCGTTCTTTTCCGGCTGTTACTGGCGTATTTTCATTGGTCAGCCGGTTGGCGCGTACGGTGCTATTGAAAGAAACACACACAAACACACACACACACACACAACAACACACACACACACCACTGCCCGCGGATGGGACTAAATTGTTCCCTTCACCTGAACCAGCACCACCTCGTTGTCTAGGGCGTCCATTATTGTGATGGTCGGGAGAGTTGCGCCGCACTCCTCCACGAGGCCTCGATTCGCGTCGCTTCGGTACGTCACGTTCACGAGCGCGGTAAGGGCTTGTCCGATCACCTGGAAAGTTGGCGATGTTGTGGGCGTTGCATGCTGTGGGTTGATACTAGTAGTGCTGTGGTGGACGTTCTTGTTCACGATTTTCTGGGCGTAGGATTAAGTGTCTTTCAAGCTTCGGAGGATGATTCATTCATACAAGCATCATCATCATCAACAACAACAACCACCATCAACACCATCGCCACCACCGCAACAGCACAGACAACGACATCAACGACGATCAAAACCACAGCCACCAACACCCATCAACACCAACACCACAACAACGGAAAGATCAGAACCTGTTCGGTGACGTGGTCCTCCCTTCTGAACCCCTCGAGTAGGCGCACCATGGCCGCGACGCCGCCCTTGGCCGCAATAATGGCTCTGTTCGGTGGGTAACGACTCAACTGAGCGATTGAAATGCACGCCTGACAAATCGAGGCGAGCAACAGGAGGAACAACAACATGGTGAATGGTGGGGTGAGCCATGTGTTGTACTGAAAACTGAAGGGAGGGGGGGGCGGATTTTGAACGGGTGGCCGGGCAACGGTGCCAGCGAAATAATACCAGCACACAAGCAGCAGTGAGCTCTTCTAAGCAACGTGTAGGATGCGTCTATCTGGGAGACATTTGTGGTTCGCAAACTCTGCGCCACGTGCTATGCCCTACGCAACTAGTAGTGTCCATGCGTCGCAACACCGCACAACACGCCGTGCATTCTGCCCTCGAAACCGCCGGAGCTTCCACTTTTCTATTAAACTCTGTAAGTTACTGCATCCAGGCGGAGATATGTCACTTACGAATGGGTATTGGGAACAGGTTTTCCAAACACCGTGTGGATTTCATGAGAGACACGCTGGAACAGACCTAGCTGCTTCACGCGGAAAACGATACGTACCCAGTGACGCTTATTGAATACCACACCAACAGTCGAACAACCACCTGAAAAACCCTTGCTCAAGAGCTACTAACAAGTCAGTTTCCTACAACAAAAAACTTCGGCGGGGGGGGGGATCTCATAGTCGTGCATGCCGTAGTAGTTAGACCATTGACCTCGCATCCCAACAAAGCCGGGACGGAGCACGCCGGGTTCTCACCGGACCAGGCTCTCACATCACCAAGCGCGAAGCGCCGTGAGGTATTCGGCGAGTCGCATGAAGGGTGCGCTGCATCCTGCTAAGGGTGTTCGGCATCTTGTGTTTACTTCCTTGCGTACGGATGACAGCTGTGTATAACTTAATTTATTTTCTGATGCTTTCACTTCCAGAGAGAGTTGTAAGCTCTGTGAAACTGCCTCGAAGGTGCGACTATCCCCTTTGCGCGGAGTGAGGGTTCTCGACCCTGCACAACATAATCTACTAGACCAACCATTCATGGTTACCGCAAAAGAAAAAAACAAAGGCAAAAAAAAAAGCGGTAACCTGGTTGCCGAGCTCACGAAGTGAATCAGCTTGTTTTACAAAATCGCTACCAAGCGACGAAAACCCAACCCCGATGGCAAACACCGGGGGCGGCGGCTTGTTTTACAACGTCGTTGCCAAGCGACGAAAACCCACCCCCGATGGCGAACATCGAAGGACGGGGGGGGGGGGGGGGGGGGGACTCTTATTCTTGCATGCCGTAGTCGTTTGACCATTGACCTCGCATCCCTACAAAGCCGGGACGGAGCACGCCGGGTTCTCACCGGACCAGGCTCTCACATCACCAAGCGCGAAGCGCCGTGAGGTATTTGGCGAGTTGCATGAAGGGTGGGCTGCATCCTGCTAAGGGTGTTCGGCATCTTGTGCTTACTTCCTTGCGTACGGATGACAGCTACGAATGACTTAATTTATTTTCTGGTGCTTTCACTTCCAGAGACAGTTGTAAGCACTGTGTAACTGCCTCTAGGAAGCTTGACCATTTTAACACAACGTGGTGCGATCATCCCCCGTTGCGCGGAGTGAGGTTTCTCGACCCCGCACAACATGATCTACTCGACCACCATTATGGTTACCGCCAAAAAAAAAAAAACGAGGGTAAAAAAAAAAAAACGGGAACCTGGTTGCCGAGTTCACGAAGTGAATTGGCTTCTTTTACAACGTCGTTGCCAAGCGACGAAAACCCAACCCCGATGGCAAACACCGAGTGGGGGGCTTGTTTTACAACGTCGTTGCCAAGCGACGAAAACCCAAACCCCGATGGCAAACACCGGGGGGGGGGGCATCTCGGCTATTCCTGACTAACCTGCACGAGGACCGCCGGCGACTGGCTGGTGAAGCACAAGAGCACCAGGGGGGGTATCCCCCCTGCCAGCCCCAGAGCGCGCTGGCACGCCTCGTGGTGCGCCATCTGTGACAGGGCCAGGACTGCCGGTCCCGTCACCTTGTGTTTTTTTTTTCGTGTTTCGGACGAGCAACAGGGGTACAGGATGATTTGAGTTTGTAACAAGAATTACCTTTGATGATGATGCTGCTGCTGCTGCTGCTGCTATTGTTGTTGTTGCTGTTGTTGTTGGCGGTGATGTCCTTGCCTGGGTCTCACGGTGCTCCTCATTGGCTGTTAGCGACACAGCCAGAACCACCACCCCGCCGACGTTTCCCTCGTGGTCGCACTCGACCCTTTGAGAGGGTGGCATTCTTTGTGTTGCACATGGAAGCAACACCTCCCAGCTATACGAAACAAAGACGACAGTGCCCAGTCTTCCCCACCTCTTGACACTTGATCTTGGTTTATGCATATGAATTACTGCGGTTGGCAGCACGGCTATGGCCCTCTGCCCGGGGGTTCGCCTTCGACTAGTACGAAAACTCACAAGTTCGTTCGGATTGGTCAGCATCCCCACCAAAAACGCCGGGGCTCCCGCCTTCAGCATCACTTCCGGCTCCGTTCTGCTCGAGGCTATGGCCATGTTCAGAGCAAACCTCGCGAACGTAAAGTCCATCGATGACAACCGAGGCTCGCTTGACGCGCCTACCAGAAACCTGAAAGATTGCATTATTTTCACGATTTCACACACCGGACGCGTTTGTTTCCCACACGCGTAATCATAAGACAGGGGAAGCGAATGCCTGGGGGGGGGAGCGCTGGATGTTGTTCAAGGAATGAAGGTGCATGAAGAGCAGGCGACCATCAGAATTCATAAAGAGCGGGCTTACGGCGCATGCGAAGCACCACCTCCTAATCACCGAATCAAGCCAACGCGGTACCCCCGTCGCACATGCCATAGTTTTATGCCGATGTGCTCGGGCAATGAATAACTTGCCCGTTCAGCCACTGGCACAGGATGGCCTTCTCCTCTCTCTCCGAGTCCGCCGTCCGCTTTGCTTCGCGCATCATGCGATTACCCTTCTTTTCCACCTCGTCGCAGAGTTGTCTGCAGGACGAAATTCGAGCAGTAGACTATACATGAGGAGTCTCGCATGGTTAAAGAGGCAGCAGGCGGAACGCGAGAGTATAATCACAAGCACCGGTGGCCCTTAATTGTCAAAGGGGCACCTACACGTTGCCGACCTTGCTCAAAAAAGCCTCTTTTCTTTTTCCAGATAGGAGCAGGGCTTACAATGCGAGCTAAACGGAACCCGACCGGCTGGAGGCCAAAAATAAGCGACAAACGGAACACAACAAAACATTGTCCTTCTTGTCGTGTGTTGCCGTTACAAGAAACGATGAGTGTGAGGATGGTCAGGTGTGGACGTGCGCACTTTGGTGGTGCGATGCGCGTGGAACGAACGGTGTTAAAGGGGCAAGACCCCCCAGTGCAATCGTATTCTAGTGCGCTCGAGGAATACCATCATGTGCCGATGTGTCCGATGACACCCCGTTGATTGTTATCTCTGTTGTCTTATGCCACTCTGCTGAATTCGTTGTGTATTTGTTTTTCATCTGTTCAAGGTTGACTCGGGTTTGATTTTCAAGAAATGACCAAAAATGCGATTGACTCTTTTCGGTCAGGTGCAAGAGTAATGCTCTCGAAAATCGTGGGGATGTGATGCCGTTGATGTAGAAATACGGGCAACCTCAGCGGAAAGCCTATTTGATAAAATTAGACCATCTGACCAGTCAACGTTGACTTGTCAGATGGTCTAATTTTATCGAATAAAAGATATGCTCAGAGCTCGTTAGCACCCGGCTGGGACACATGGGCTTGCGAATGAGTAGAGATCTCCGGGGCTGGACCCCTCGCCAGACGCTGATCGATAAATAAATGGCGATTCTTTTGTAAGTGAACCACTGGGATTCGAACCCGTGCGTGGAACCTTGTGTAAGAAGAACGCTTTGACCATTATTACCATATAGTGGTCTAATGGTAAAAGTGGACTTAGTGGTCTAATGGTAAAAGCGTTCTAACGCAAGGTTCCACGCACGGGTTCGAATCCCAGTGGTCCACTTACAAAAGAATCGCCATTTATTCACCGATCAGCGTCTGGCGAGGGGTCCGTCCCCGGAGATCCCTACTTCTAAAGAACAAGCTCATGTATGTGTCCCAGCCCGGTGCTAACGAGCTCTGAGCATATTTTTTATTTGATAAAATTAGACCATCTGACAGGTCAACAGTCAAATGGTCTAATTTTATCGGCGAATAAAGCCCTGGCCGAAACCAGAGGTGGGCAAATGAAAACAGGGGCCCTCGGCTAAAGGAAGCTCCAGCGAGGCGCGCGAGCCTCACGCAAAATAGAAGGCACGTCCAGTACATCCAACCAAATCAACACCCACCGCATGTTTCCCTCGAGCTTGAGCAGCTGCGTGTCAATCTTGTCTATGGTGACGAGCACCTTCTTCTTTACTCGCTGCACAAGCACGCTCAAGGCCTTGTCCACTTCTTGCGCACAGAACCCTAGAATCTCGCGGTTGCTCGCCTTATCCCCTGCAAAATGCTGGTGATAGACGGGACCAGGAGGTGGCGCCACCGACGGCGGTCGTTACGAAAAGTGGCGGAGAGGGCTTGAAGGTCCCACACACAATAGAAAGTTCAATCTACATATATATCTGCGCAAAAAAAGCTGGCACTGCGTGCTTGATATTTGCTAGTGGGCTCTCTTCAGCCTTCGTTCGCATAGTACATCGTAATATTACTGCTGTTGCTGCTGTTGGTGTGGAGGAGTCAGGCCACTTGACATCGACAGCAGCAGTAGTAGATTACAAGGAGAGTTCGAGATTATGATCGCGTCCGTTTGGTCGCCCTTGATGCGTGTACAACTCTTGTTGTCGCCAACGATTTAAGCAACAGAAAGTGTTCTCTGTATGCCACGGGTGATTGTAGCATCTCACACATGTTTACCTGCTCTATCTTATGCGCCAGCGAGGCACCCGTGACGGAGACTCGGATCTTTGACCTCCCTGGATCTTGCTGAACCGTTGGCGCCACATTCCTGTTGCCGCCATCCTGGCGGAGGCGACTTAGTTGCTGAAGCCCCCATGCAGGGCCTTGGGAGACCTTGCTTTCGTTGCGGATTGCCGACGAAGTATTCATGTACAAACACACAGGTTGGTGATCAAGGTGATGCAAGAAGATGCAAGCTTGGCTGGCTGTGGGTGATGCATGTGGGGGGCCGCTGCTAAACCTGGGAGTCGGCGGATACCACCCCCCTCAAATGGGTTACGTATGTACCTCAGAGGCGTTTTTGGCGCACCGAAGACCGAAGAGGAGTACTGCGACAAGCACCATTTGCTGCAAAGCAAACGGCCGCACACAGCAAGGCTGTCTCTACGTGTAGATGCATCGCCGCTGCCGTACGGCTGTGTACCTTGGCCTTTTCTCCATCGCGGCTTCTCTGAGAGCCGTCTTGGGCGGTCAGCACTTCGAGTATGACGAAGACCTAGGCAAGCTCGCAGTGGTGAGCACACCTCATTTTCAACAGCAAATATACTGGATAAAGTGTAGAAAATTGGCTAGGAGTCCCCTTTCATTTGCTCAGATGTGTTGCAGCACGCCCGAGGGTGTATAGGTCCTCGAGAGACGATGTTCACGGGAGAGACACCAGCTCCACGGCCAATGTGAACCTCTTTGCTTGCCGCGAATTTGTCCATCCGCAGCTACTGTAGCTGCAGTTGACCACCTCCAGCGAGCTCAAACTTGATTGATGACACGCACGAGCGTTTGAACATGGTAACGGTGACTTCAGACCCCCACTCAGCTCGGGGCATTTGAGCTTTCCTCTTGTTGAAGCTTGCTTGAGTGCTCTGTCCGGCTGGTAATCTTCGTGCGATGGCGAGAGCTTATTTTTCTACCGACTACCGCAGGCATGCCGACAGAATTGTGGCTGGAAATTTTCTGCGAAGATTTTGGACTGCTGCACCACTTACTCTGTATGCATACAGCAGTACTGCTGTAGTACACTCGCAACGTCCCCATAGACTATTGGTTGTACCCATATGTTTTCGTACGTGTTGGATCTCTCCTCGCTTGAAGGTCGAAAATCCTAGTGTTTGGACTAAAGAAAACTAGAGCAGGTCTTCAACTACAGCAGTATTCATTGGCAGCATTGACGACAAGCACCATGGCCTTAGGAGTCACAGGACGAGAGACGGCTTGGACGTCTTGGGAGAGGCATCTTTATTTTTGTCTGCCCAAGCACGTACATACCGTATACGACACAAGATAACACACCACCTGGACCCATTTTCAAAGCTCGATTACTCCACGACCAAGATGATGCATAAACGAAACGATATGTTTTCGGGGAGCTCTCAGCCAGACGGCTTCAATGCCGCCGTTTTCGGCACCCGCACTCTTACTGCTGTTGATAAATCGAGCTTTGAAAATCGGGCCAGGCGGTGTGTTATCTTGTGTCGTATACGGTAGGTAGATACGGTACACCTGGCTGTCGGTGATGAACTGCTGTGCGCGTCGTCTGAGCGTCGCGGACGAAAAGAAAGACGTGCACACCCAAATTTCTGACTGCCAACTTTGGATAGTCCGATGATAAGCATACAGCACTTGCCAGGCCCGCGGCGTTCCGTTGCGTACGTGCTTCTATGTGCCTATAGCTACACTCTGACATGTGCGCAATGGATGGAAATTCCACCACGTGTCCTCGCCGTAGCGGCGATTTCGAAAAAAACAAAATTGTCATTCCTAATTACCCCCCGCCTGTGGCTGAATCTTGGCCGGGCCGGGCTCGGTGTTTTTTGGCGCAGATCTACAGCAGCGCTGCGTACGACAGGGTGGAAGAGTGGGTGTTCGCCAACCCGGCTTGCAACGAGCAGACGAAAGGGTTCGTCTTCGTTGAGGTGGGACAGCAGAGTATTTAGTACATGTGGTGGCAGCAGCCCCGGTCGGCCGTGACAGATACACAGACATTGTAGCACCTGCAAGTCTGGTAGTGGCCGAGGCTGGGGTTCTTGGTTCCTCTTGTGGCCATATTTAGGTTTTTTGTGTAGCTGTAAGTAGGTTTTGGTGTGTAGGGGCTCATCACCCGGCTCGCAACTGGTGCCCAAGTTCCTCTGTGTTTGATACAATGTTGAGCATCAAGTTTTTACGTGCGGGCGATCTCTACAGCAGTTTGCTTTGTGCCGTCCGTCGGCGGAACCGGCGGCCGTTAGCGAGCGGGGTCTACGCGTGTGTGTAGAAACTGTCCTCTTTGGTGGCTACCAACGCTCGTGAGCAGTGCATCGACAACCAAAAGAGATTGGCACAATTGTGGAGATCCCCTTCTGTGGAGGACGGTTCTCTGTTTTCACATTGACACACAAATATTAGATCTGCAGTTGTTGCTCCTTCGGATTTTTCTATCGCTTGTCGTGTTTTCATGCATGACGCGAGCGTTTTGTGCGAGCATGCTTGCGGACATGTCGTCCCTAATTTTTTTTGTGTGGATCCTCTCTCTTCGTCGCCTGCCTGTCTTGTCTGTTTGCGGCACGTTTTTTTTCGGCCACCAATCAGTCGTTCGTCGGCGAGCACACGGACGCGTTCAGCTTCGTCGGAGTGGACACGGTTGGCGAGAGGATCGTTGTGGCTTTCAAAGGCACCACCGACGTACAAGATTGGGTGAGATGATGTCGTGTGGGAGGGCATGTGTTGCTGAGTATAGGGTGCATGCATTGGGGGGATGTGTGGCTTTCGAAGGCACCGCCGACTTGCATGAGTGGGTAAGGCGTCTCGTGGGCAGGTTTCGGCTGGATGTGTGTAAGGTGCAGATGTGACTTTCTCAGGCACCAGCGGCGTGCATGATTCGGGTGGGGTGTTGTGGGAGTTTTTGTAGGGTGCATGCATCGGCGCGATAGGAGACAGAGAGCTGCGAGACGAGGGAGGGCAGACGAGGAGACTCAAGACTTGCGGCGGCGGAGAGGGGAAGGCTCCCTTCTCGGAGAGAGGAGTAATAGACAGAAGCGGTAGTGGACATGGAAGCTGGCACAGTGCGGCAAAGGGATGCGAGGGCGGGACTGACGGCGTCGTGGAATAATCGACCATGTAACCTGCTGTGCTTCACACGAACACGGAGATGGGGGTTGGAACCGCGACATCGACATCACACGCAAAGACAACTTTGGTTGTACTTTTGTCATTGAGAATAATTCTTCACGCGGTAGCCTGCCCGGGTGAAAGGTGGAGCATTTTTCTCTTTCCTCATTTTAATGCCAAGACGAATTTCCGCGCCTTGTCGTCCACTATCTTACCGTTACGACCTTTTTTTGGCGCGTGCAACAATCGTGTTGCAGGTGACGAACCTACGAACTTGGATACACTACACTCATCGCTGCGCGCCGGCGGGGGGGCCAGACACGGTCGCCGCCACCACCCCCCACCCAGGGGGCGAGGCCGCCGCCCCGGGCCGGCGAGCGGCGGCGGAAATGTCGCAATCGCGTTCGCGTCAACAACATCGGAGACGACCGGGGGGTCAACCGGCTGACTTACGGGGGCAAGAAGAAGCGAAGGCCAGCGGCGGCGGTGAAGGCCGGGTTGATGGCAGGCAGGCGGAATCCGGAGCAGGCCAAGGTGGGTTGTGGGGGCGTGAAACGTTTCACGGCGCTGGGGTAGTCGGGAGGGAGGACGACAACAACAACAACAACAACAACAACCCAGGATCATCGTCCGGAGTCGGGGGCAGAGATCCGACGGCGGCGGGCTACGCGTCGTCGTCCGCCATGGAGGCGGCCCCACGAGAGCGTGGCGACGCACCCGGAGGAGAAGGGCCAGGGGCGGGCGACGACGGCGAGGACGACCAGCTGCTGATAGGCAACGTGCACTTCGGCTTCTGCGAGTTCTACCAGACGCTGGTCGCCGAGGGCCTGGCCGCCAAGGTGCTGCACCTCGCCCGCAAACACCCGACCTACACGATCTTCGTCACGGGGCACTCGCTCGGCGGGGCGGCGGCGGCGGTGTGCGCGGCGGACCTGGTGGAGAGGCTAGGGGTGGCCAGCGAGCGGGTGGTGCTGTACACGCTGGGGGAGCCGCGCGCGGGGGACGGAATTTTTGCGGACGGGATCAACGAGCACGTGGTGAGCTATGCATGCGAGCCCTGAGACTTGATGAGAGACTTTTTATATATCTCTCCGGAGTTGTTGTTTTTTGCGGTCGGTCGCTTCGTCTGTAGGTTTGGGATCATTGGATGTCGTACATGTTGTTGGATGTGCTACATACCCCGCTGCTGTGTGGTGTTCACCGCTTGTTCTGCGTTTCTCCATGCCGCCGGGAAGTGTGAGCGAGATCGAGGGGACATATGGCCAAGACGTGGTGGCAGTTTCATGCAAGCCCTCGGACAAGTGTTTTTGGATCACCTTCCCCCCCAACAGGTGGCCTGCGATTGGCTCGTAACACCGGTAATGGTTACATTTCTCTGAACGGTTTGGGTGTGAAACCGTTGTTCAAGAAGGGTATGCAGGTTATCAATGCTTCGTTTTCTTCTGACACATTTTTTTATTGTTTTCGCTGCCGCCCATCCGCCATCCCCACGCTCACGACGCCGTCCGCAACACAGGGGACGGCCTACCGCATCGTGCACGACAAAGACTTGGTGCCTCATCTGTCGCTGTGCTGCCACGGTTGGCTCGGCAAATGCATAGGTGGGGAGGAGGCATGTCCCTACCAGCACAGCACCGAGGTATGTTCGTATTCTTGGTATTAGCATCGACCTCTCTTACGGGCAGACCAATGAAAATACGTCAGTCTTGTTGAGGCTGAAAACAGAAAGGGTTTCTAAAGGCCATGATCCGAGGCCCGCGATGGGGGCGCCCATGGGGGAGTCTAAGCTACTGCTGTGTGTCGTGTGTTTATCATTTGCATCGACCGCGCTAATGGGCTGACAAAACTCACAGGGCCTCAGTCTCGACCCGGGGTATGAAGACAGAGTATGTACGCTTTTAAAGGCCATCATGTGCGTGTGCGTGCGTGTGCGTGCGTGCGCTTCTTTATTTCGCATCGACGGCGCTATGTAACCGACTGGCAACGATGTCACTCTCAGTGTGGGTACTGCAAAGCCTGAAAATTACCTCCAGAGGCCGTTGTGTGTGTGTGTGCGCACGCGCTTTTTAGTTGGCATCGACCGCGCTAGGTGGTTGAACAACGAATAAAGGCAACCTTCATGGCGGGATGCAAAACGCGTGAAGTATGTGCTACTGCAATTTATCACCGAAGCGGATATGCTTGCACGCGGACGGGGCGGGGGGCACGCCCCTCTTCCCGAACCACACATGCTGGGTTGAATCATGTAAAATCATTGCACGAAGATTGTGTCTTCTACGTGCTGCTCACACGATAGCACTACATGCACAGCAATTTTCGTCTCAAGGGGCACGAAGTGAGCACACACACACGCCTTGATCGATCCCGTGTGTCTCCCGCGTTTATGATTTTTTTTCTTCTTCTCTGAGTGCGAAACCATTGAAACCGCCTGTTTTTTTGTTCTTGTTTTTTTGTTTTGTGCAGATAGTGTACGCCAACGACATGAGCGACGGATCCCCCTGGATTCAGTGCAACGACACGGTCGGAGAGGACTACGCATGCGATCCCCAGGTATCTTGTCAATCTCTCTCTCTCTCGATGTCTCTGTCTCTGTCTGCATGTATCTCTCTCTCTCTCTCGGCTTTGTTACCCGTTGTGTGCTTGTTGTATGGTCCATGCACAACAGCGTGTCCATTGTCCCCCCAACACAAAGGTGCGGTTGGTACACTGTTCTCGAGGTAGACATGGTTGATCCGAACTCCAAAGACACCGGCAAACGCACCTTCTCCAGGCGCATCTTTCTCCAGAGACGTTTTGTTGTTGTTTTTTTGTTTTTTTTTCATATGTCTAGGGCCAAGATCGCGAAAAAATTCCCGTCGTTTTGTTCGGAGAACAAAACCTTACGCAAACGATTCGTCTCAACAATACAAAAAGGCAGGTTGTTTGCTTGGTCGAGAAAAACTCTGTAGCTCGAGACATTCCACTTTATGTCCAACACTCAAATTTTACTTCAAGTCTTCAAGTTTTTTTGCTCCACAATAACTTGAACGTGGAATGGGGTGTCAATTTGTTTTAGAAAGTAAACATAACCTCACAGAAAGACTATTTACCCGTTCGAGATATAACCTCAGTCGAAAGGGATTTTTTTCTTCAGACCTATATTGTTTGCCTTGATGAGGGTTTCACTAGCTGCTGCGGCACTGCTGCTGCTGTTGCTGTCTGTCATAGCCGGGTGTTGGCTGCCCCCCCCCCCCCTCATGTCTTCGTCTCTTGGGCGCTCGCCTGCACGGACAAGCAGGGTTGGGATCTGAGCATCGCAGATCACGTCAGCTACTTCGCGCGCACCGTCGGGCAGTACTGCAACACCCCCCCAGAGGACCTCAAGCCATTTCCCCTGTGAGCGCACGCTGACGTCAGACTGGTTAGGATAGGCTATAGACTGCTGCTTGTCGTTGTCGTGCATATGCTGCGGCACGAGACTTGCCCCTGCTGTTGCTGTACCAACCGAGTTTGCTCTCCTTCCGCGTGTACGTCCAGGAGTAGTGTTTTTTTATCTCCTGGTTGGTGTTTGTTTCGCTTGCGCGGCACACGCCGCACGCGTTTCCCCTTGCTAGACTTGCCTATTTATTCGGCTCGCCCTTCAAGGGACTGAACAACTATGTTGCTGATGTGGCATCGCTTCGATATCGATCATCCAGCAAATTTGGCGAGGCGGCGAACGGGCCTACCGTCGTAGGTTACATTGCATATCTACCGCACCCCCTGGACCGTTTTTGAAAGCCCGATTACTCCACAACAAGAGCAGCGGCGGTGCCACAGATGGTGGTGATGTTGGCCCCGTCTTGTCGAGAGTTTTTCCGAAAACGCGTCGTTTGATTGTGGCATCCTCTTCGTCGTGGAGCAATACGTGGAGGTTTGACAATCGGTCCAGGGTGTGTGGTATCTTAAGCAACCTACCACGGTGTCCGTCTCACGGGTCTCAAGGAGAGGGCGGGGGCGGTAGAAGAGGCCCGTGCACCGAGACTTGGTTACACTTTGATGGTCACTCTTCAGGTGTAACCGATGTTGAGCCTTGGTTCCTCGCACAGGATGTGTCATACACCGTGGCGGACCCAACCCACGTAACCCTCACCCACAGCCAACGCACGGGGTAACGGCCGCGAACTGGGCGAGAACGCGGCGCTCTCGGAATGCGGAACGGCGAGAGGGTGCTGTAGAGGAATCAGCCGTTAGAACCAACGCCCGACCAATCAGAAGGCGTTAGTCCTGAAGAGTGACTACCAACGTGTAAACACTACGCTTTCACCCGCGAGCACCTTCGTCTTTTTGCTGCATCCCCCCCCCCCCTTTTCTCGTCTTCTATACAGTATGTAGCTGAGAGAGGAAAGGGGGAAAGGCAGGTAGCAGGTAACCTGCCTAAACCAAAGTCATTTTGGTAAATGAGCTTGTAGACCGCATGGCGTTGAGGATCACGTGTCCAAAGCAGCAGCAGCAGCAGCAGCAAACAACGGCGACACTCGTTGTAGCAGCAGCAGCAGAAGCAGAAACGACAACCGCAACGGTAGCATGTAGATTGACCTCCGCCCCTCCTCCATGCCCGCCCCACCCTTCCATACCCCCCAGGGCCCAAGAAGAGGAGAAGGCCAAGTGGGCACCATACGAGGCCGCTATGCGCCAAGAAGATGATGCCTACCGACCCATGGAGAGGCTGCGGGACGCTTAGCAAGGTGTGTGTCTCTGTACACGGTTTCAGCTGCTGGTGTGCCGACGACGGAAAGGCGTGGGTGATTCATTCGTAGGAGGAGAGGTGGGCATCGAACTCACCAACACGAACGTTTGTTGAAGGGCGCCAGTAGTGAAACAGTAGCCGATCATCGATCATATCATATTTTTTGAAGTGTTTCTTCTTGTTGTCTTAACATTAAGAACCGTTCTCTCTACGCGGTATCTTCATCTGTCCGTATAGTAATTAACACTTGACGCTATCATGGCAGGGTTTTTATTTTGTGGTGGTTATTTTCTCCCTTGTGCGGCGCTCGTCGCTCGCAACTTTCCGAACACCTCACGGTCTTGCCCTCGCTCGGCTTGAAGGCCTGATGCGGCTTGAGAATAGCACAGCTAGCGTATACCTCGAAGGCAGCGTACCGTTGATGACAGACGGAGCGGGAGGCGGCCAGCACTTGCTTCCCTTGAGTGTACCCAAGGACATGCGACTCATTCAAGTACAGTGGTTCCACGCTTGGAGACGCACAGGTTGCATTTTTTGTAAAAAAAGTGTCTTGAACACGGGGAAGGAAGTGTCGTCTTCTGGGATCCCCCCCGTCCCCCCATATTTTTTTTATTTGCGGGGCAACATTGCTCTGATTTTTTTGGGGGGTTTGTGCGCCTGTAGAGCGCGGCCGAGCGTCATTATGGCGGGGGCAGCTGAATTTTTCGGGCCACCGTATCCACCATTACGCGCGGTATGTCACTCATGGAGCCCGGGAAACAGCCTGCGGTTCACCCTCTCCTTTTTTTTGTATATTTTTTCTCCGTGTGTTGTTGACAGTTACAAAGAGTAAGTGCACGCGTACTTTCTGCTCTCTTGTAAAATGCGCAGCAAGCGCTCCAACTATCTATTCTAAACCCAGCGTCGTGCTACCGGTGCTCTTTGATGCGTAGGGATGTGGGAGGGCGGGCTTGCGGTGACGTCAGGATCCTCTTGGGAAAGGCAACCGGCGCTGTAAAGAATGGAGGTGGAAGCAGAGATGATGAGGGGGACATCACGGCGTTTTCCCCGGATTCCAACGTCATGTAAAACGCTTCGCCTGTCTTGCACCATACAGTGGGGGGCCGCTATCAACGCGGGTTGATTTGTGGGCCCCTTGGCCCTGTATTTTGCCGGTGAAACTGCTGGGCGCAGACTAAATCACCCAGTGTTCTGGTCGATGCACCGGGCACCTACCGGCGTTTTCTTGAGGGCCCCCCACTGTACCACGCCAGTGCAGACAGAGTGCGGTACTCAACACGAACGGTTCCTCTTTTGTGGCGTTCCCAAGTAGAGGGATGCACGCCTGTTGAGACTGTTGTATGGATGTGTGTCGCCGGTGGACCGCAGTATGGTCTTGTATATTGTAATAACTTCGGCGGTATGTGTGGTGGCGGAACACTGACATATTCGGGACGACGATTTGGGATGTTTTTTTGGGCGGGTGCCAACATCCGCGCTTGCGCAGTAGAATGATTTGAGCAGCCTGTCCGCGACACGGGCGTTTTAGCTACGTGTACCTGGTACCATATTTGCTTCGAGTGCATGGCAGGGTATGCTTTGTGTGCGAGGGTCAAGGTGTGCGCGTGTTGCCTTTTGTCGGCACGCGACGAAAAAATATTTTACACAAATGCATACTTAAGACACTAAGGCTTGAGCTTGCTCGCGCACGCACGACGGCGGGCACTTGTTTTGAGATGAAACCATGTGATGTTAGCGGAACTCGTTATTTTTTTCTTTCAACACGCCAAAGGCTCTCATCACTCTCTCGCGCATGGTCACAGGCCAACTACCCGGAGGGTACATGCTAGATACACCACAGGAATATAATAAGGGCCCGAAAGTGAACACTTGAAATCCTATATCGTCGTGAAACCTGGCGCCTTCAGAAGCGGAACGCTTGTCTCCGAGGGACCGGCAGTAACTTGTTGGACGACGAGGTGCTGTTGTTGTTTGACGCAGAAGGGCTTTCGCTCGTCCCAGAACACGGATGGATACGGGTATGTTCGGGCTTCCGTGTATCATTTTGTGGATGGTGCTCTTGGCAACGCGGCCATTTCATTAAGTGCACATCACCAAAGGCGCAGCCGGCTCGTGCACCACCTCCTCTCGACCCACCAGACCAGTACCACTTCGCAACTTTTTTTTTGTTCCATCACTGTTAAAATCCAGCACTCACAGCATTTATGCCAGGCACTGCTGTAGGGGTTCCAATCCGTGGTCACACACAAGGGTTCCTCCCCTACCCACCCCTCCTGCGGTGCTTGCAATCGATTATTTACCCGGGGAGGGTGAAGAGTGCAGCAGCACTAGAAGCAGCGCCCTCTTCCCTCAAAGTGCGCACACCGACTATTAGTAAGCGCCTTCCACCTGGGCCAGGAACGGAAGCGAGAGAACAGCATCACTTTGCAAGAAATCAAACTCGCTTGCGCCGGGGTTCGAACCCGTGACTGGCCGCTAGAAGGTTCAGAGGATACAGAACCAACTAGATCTCAACAGAAAAAGTCACTCTTGTTTCGTCGTGGACGTTTTGGCCGATTTCGAATGTTCTTCGGCAGGACAAACTGACTCAAGGCCATGCTCCGGTTTCCTAAACACGTTCCGTTGACCTCTGTTGAACACTTGCCCAAACCACAGCAGCACCACAAAAAAAAACACAACATTTTATTCACACCTCGCGGTAAGGACCTTCAACCTTCAATACGGTAAGGGCAGAGCCTGCCTACAACCCAAGACAACGTCGCAACCTCCACACAACGGTCTCGCTGAGTCGTGCGAAAAAACGCAAGCCGCATGCGCCCAGCGATCCAGCCTTGTACTAATACGCGCTAACCGCGGCTCGTTTTTTGTGTACAGCAGTTGGGGGGGCAGAAGAAGGGAGAGAAAAGCTAAATAGAAAGAGGACAAGCGCTCAAGATAGAACAATTCTATGGCGATTGGTTCACTTCACCAATGGAGCCAGACACTATTAAGTAACTATTTTCAGGTTGGACGTGTCTCGATCGCTTGCGCTTCATACCACACGAAACACGACAGGCACACACACTTAAAAACACTTTTCAGCATTACCTTCACGTTCCGACACGTGGCACGGGACCTGCACTAACAGAGCTAGCACTACATACAAGACAGGACAGCAGCAGTGATGCAATCAAGACCTTAAAAATGTGGTCCCAGTATGCAACACTCGGCACATCCATGCACCGCTCGGTACATCCATCCGCTAACATCTAGTAGCCCGCGATATCTACGGCGACTCC